ACACACACACACACAGAGCCTTAGAGAATGCAAATAACTCCAAAATAAAGATGTATGTAAAACCACAGAATACATAAATTACAGGATCCTGGTACATTGTGTTTTCACAAGTTTCGATGATAATGGGCGGGCAAAGTCAACAATAAATCACCAAGTTGCTTCCAACACCATTATCTATAGTGGACAGGAATATTAATATTTCTCATAGAGTTCAGATTTACACAAATCTAGGACAGTAGATGCATCTGGGTTTGGAAACTATCCTTCCAGGATTTTGCACTGAACTTCTAGAACTTTCATCCAAGTTCTAGACCAGGTGTTGGGTGCTATAACACAGGCCCAGGTTTCAGATCTTGTAAATATAAGCAGCTGCATTTCTACTTTAAATATTGAAAATGGCAGATTCAGTAAATCTTTACCAAAAGGTCTTTATGAGTGAGGCACACTAAGATTATAATCATCCAAAAACAAATGTTTTGTGCATTTAATAAATAGCATTCTTTCTGGAAGGTGTGTTCATATATATATATACTAAACGTACAAGGCACCTTTTGTGCCCAATTATTCAATTTCATTCACATTAAGGAGTCTGAAGAAATATTTAAGATGTGGATGTTTTGGATTCATCAAACTAACATTGTACTTCGTTAAAAAGTGTTTATCATTGTCTTTTGTGCATGCAAAAAACATTTTTAATCTACAAAAATGGTCAACATTTTAATAATTTATATCATGTGCCACATACGAAACTTTTACCAAGTATCCCATTACCAAGATATTATTAACAGTTGATTTGAAACTTTGAATATAACATACATCAATCCTCCCAGTATTCACCATTACTTAAAATATTGCTAAATTATCTTTTATTAATAACCAAGCAACTATTTAACACTTTGTAAGAGCAAGGTAATAGTTAACCTTGGGAAAATTTGCATGGGTCATGCGAGTTAAATTAAAATGATTTTCAATAAACGAATAAAAGTCACATGAAACCACAACCAATATAAAGCTGTGGTGGAATGGAATGTATCAGTATTACATTTTCAAATTGTTTGGTGTGTTGTACATAGTGCAATGCCACTGAAAAATGATTGCTTTTGAAAAGGGTAACAAAACTTTCTATTGCAAAATATTCATTCATACACTCAGGTCATAAAGATGTGCTCAAAGTGGGAATTTGGAATTTCCAAGATGAGGATATTCCTTGTATTTAATTGCATTAGAAAACAAAGGACTATCCAGAAATATACCTCCAACAATTCATACCTGAGATATGGTAAGCAAAGTGAGACACCTTGCAACAGGTGAGAATCTACAAACACAAAGGTCAGTGACAAAATCCAACCATGTGCCCCAGGAAACAGTAAGCAACACAAATTGCGTCCACAACATAACTCAAGCAGCTGGAAAATGAAATGGTTAATCATGCTATTCCATACAAAGACATATCACTTACGGATTTCTTTGTGATTTGACCATTGAAATGGGCACTCGGAAGCAGTTGTCCTCCTGCATTATATAGCTTATAGAAAGCAATATGAAAAAGAGGTGTATTATGAACAGATATTTTGCTGTTTTATGTACTATCCCTGAAATAAAAGTTCTCTCATAATTATCTGGAATGTAAAGGTAATTTTTTTCTAACTTCATTATCAAAATAGATTAAAAATGGATTATTAGGATGAAAGTATTGGTAAAGCCAAAAGGTGAATTGATAACAAAAAAATTGAAAACTGAGGGGGTTTTGACATTTTTTTGTGAATTATAAATATTCTATATTTTCACTTTTATAATGTGAAAGATTGATGATTTTAAGAAATGTAAAGATTTTTTTTAAATAGAATTTTAACTATAAATGTTGTATCAAAAGAAACTGACATGATTTTGGTTTGCTGAACAATTAAAGGGCCAGGTTTGAAAGAGCACCAAGTTATTAAACATTATTTCTTACTTATAATTTCAACATCATGTGAAACACAATTTTTGAAACATTATTAATGTAAAACAGTTTTTTAATCACAAAATTCACTATATAACTAAGAGTAACAGATTTGAGCAGTTTATTGACTAATGGTACTGCTATTCTTCACCTTGAAATTTATGAACTGACAATAGAGGATATATAAATCGTGGTTAATTTTTTTACACAGTTAAAACAAGAACCTAAATTCCAAAATTATAAAGAAACCAATAACAAACTAAAGACCCTAAATTTTTGCCCAAAGCCATTTAGTTCTTCTGAACTTACACATTCTTGTGAAAATGATGGCAGGTATTTGAACTTTCCAAGTTTTGTGAAATAACTGCAAAATATCAACCAGTGCTATCTAGTCTGATTGAATATTTTCATACACATGCTTCAACTACAGTATTACTCTATATCAATATTACATCAAAAGAAGACATAAATTCACAACAAAGTTTATCATAAACTTTTAAACAAAAAGAAATAATCTGAATCATGATGACAAAAGAATCAAACCAACTTAAAATTTAAACTAGGACATCCCACCATAAAGTTTAAATCTTATCCTGTGCTCATGTACAATATCTAGTACTCGTGTATACCTGTATGATGATGTTCACATAAAGTTCTAGGCATACATCATTTCTGCCATCCTGGACATTTCTTTTGGTATGTATACCAGATTATCGAGATAGGCTGCTAGCTCGTCCACGTTCACGTCATCGTTATTCCGTGCTTCTTGAGCACAAGTCCTTTCACTTGCATTGGTCTGATTTTCCCTTGACTTGCTACTTCTTGTTACTTCTTCCTCAAAGAGAGCCATATTTCTTTGGGCAAAATGTGAGCTGTTGGTTTTTCCTGATAATGTCTGTCCACCATCTTCAAACCATGATGAAGATCCTTCTAACATAGGTGGAGATTGAAAATTTGCATAATGTATCAAGTCCTGACGAAAAGCATCACTTTCATTAACAAACACACCACGATGATTACTCTGTTGTAATGTACGGGTATTCTTTTGTTCTTTTTCTACAGACCTCCACAGTGTTTCCTCCACTCCTGATGTGAGATTTTCATTCGGCTGACAGTGTGAAACAGGACATGTAGATGGCAAGGTACCAGCATCTTCCATGGTTCTGCCATTAGATAATAATTATTTGATGGAAATAAAACTGTATTACACAAAAATGTTCTTGTTAAGAAACTTATTAAAAATTACATGTATGGTGGACACAGAATGTTAAATCAAAAATTAGAAAAACTTTTCACATGTAATTTTTTTCTACTGCTGTTGAGCAACCACAAAATGCTCAATAAAACAGTTAGTATTATGATAATGAAAATTATACTTAACCTTCCCACAACCAGGTATTTTATATTCCCAAGAAGCAGCAACAATTAGGAAATATGAAAAATTGTTTTTTTTTATATATTCTATTGAAGGTCCCAGTGGATTCAGTATGAAAAACCACATAGATCAGTATAGTCCCTGGCGGAAGAAACAGTGGGTACACCACATACTTAGCAAGCACTTATGATAAGGATTATCAGTTCTGTGTACAACCAGTAACAAAACTTAATCCTAACTCGCTACTCTGAATTTAGCAAAGTTCATCACAAACTATTAAGTGCAAAAGTGCTTGTACTAGAATAGTACACAAAAACTGGATAATTACTTTTGTAATAATTTAGTCAAGAATATTCATTTCTAGTACGAGCATTTATAGCCTAAGTATATTTTGAAAGAATTTTCATGTTTGCAAACAATATAAAATGAAGTGTAACTATAAATAAAATTTATCCTTGCAATCAAACCCTTGTTCACTGAATCTATAATTAGCTTTCTCCTTATAATAAGATGTGGACTGGCCCAGTGGGGGATTTCCCACCAGGCCAATCACCATTTTGGGGCAGGCTGTTGGACTTAGAGTTTTATGAAAAATACTAGTTATAATTTAAAAATACCTGATGCAATCAAAATATTTTTTTATTGTAACATTTCTTGTAAAAATCCATATAGCTACAATAAACAAGGAATATGGTCTATACCTGCCCTTATTCCTACTGATAAGAGTTTAAACTTGCCAACATTTATGATCTCCTTTACTTACTAGATATTGCAAAGCAATGTGTATATGTTTAGCATTTTGTTAACATTTCCTGGTGGATTTTAGTGTCACCCCTGTCTGTTGTGCTCTCACCCTTAAAATGCTTAGCCTAATTGCAGGAAATATAGCAGATGTTTTCAAACTCATTAATTAAGGAATCTTCGTGCTGCTTGAGTGGTCTAGTTGAAACATGTAGAGTTTACTTAAATATGATCATACTATCTATTTTATGTTTTATCAAATTGTTTTTGTAAGTCACACTCTTCCATTAAATAGGTTATTATGAACTTAACCACATACTTTCAACATAATATGAAGTCTATGCTTTTAAAGAATTAGTTAATTTGGTTCAGTATTTGTATAACATTTTAGGTTGTTAATTTTTGAAAATTCTGTTGTGAAACATTTAAAAAAAAAACATTAAAAAACACTACCTTTCACCTTATGTTTTTATCATTGTGTTCCTAAAATTAGATAAATGTATCCAAACAGGTATTTTTTCAATAAAACTAATTGTTGTGTCTGTGTTATTCTAATAATGGCATAATAATTTTTTAATAAAATCATTACGAAACAGTTTTTTGAAGAGCCCAGGTCGGTAATACAAGATTTCCATCGAATTTATCAGTGCTCAGTCGACATCAACCACTGTTCACTGAATCTACAACTATCCACCAATATTATAACTTTCTTTAAGCGTGTTCTACTGGCAATCTTATTTTGGATTTCTCCATACAATCAGCCATTCTTCACTGAGAGTACAACCAAGCTTCCTAGCCAGCCTGATGAGCTGGTTGTGGGCAAAAGGGATAGGGAAGATATACTGTGACTGACATATTATTACATTATTCTCCTTTGCTTTCACTCATGGGTCTTAGAATTACTAAGTCCTTGTCTCACATTAACACTGGGGTTGCTTAATTCATTCAGGTCACAAGACTGACTTCCTGGGTTTGCCAGTTCTTGTGAATGATAGCAAAATTAAAATTCGATGACGAGGAACCCACTTTGAGACTAATAATGGTTGGAGAAGGCTTGAATGGGTAATGAAGAAAACTTTAATATAAGTTTAACATAACAGCAAATGTACAACGTTTCGACAAGGTTTTGTCATCATCAGGTACATAATCAGATAGTAAAATTAGTTAAAATAAAAAATAGTAATAAATAATTAATCAGTGTTAGAAGAAGAATGTTGGATGTGGCAGATGAAGTGTGGTTGATGTAGCATATTCTTCTTTGCTCTTATTCATGGGTTCTTAAAATTACCAAACTATATTTTCTAACTTGTTCATGCCATTGTGGGAAAAAAAAAACTTGTAGCTGGAATAATCCTTACTTTTCAACACAATGTCAAATAACTGTTTTAACAATTGCAGTAAGTGTTATATATATATATATATATATATATATATATATATATGTGTGTGTGTGTGTGTGTGTGTGTGTGTGTGTGTGTGTCTTTATACACCAACTGAACATAGAAGACCTTTCATTTACCACCTGTCATTTAATTTTTCTGATGGCTTAGTTTGTATTTCATATTATTTAACTAATGCAAACACAGTATAGCTTAAAATTGTCTTGTATTATATTGTATTTGATTAGTTTGCAGTTCTTTACAAAGGAATTTAAAAAGCAAACAAGAAAGATAAATTTAAATTACTAAAGACATTTCTTTTGAAATATGATAGTGAAATGAAATTACAGTCCTTGTTTTTGTAAGAAGTGGATGTCACATGAATGTCATAGATGTTACTGGTGAACAGATATAGTATATTAGAATTGAAAACAGATACTGTGGGTGTTCACAGGATAAACAATATATATATATTTAATATTTCCTTGCGAGTTTAGACATGACACTTCAAGAACATAGAATGCATGACACAGTTATGATTAACAGCTCAGTGAATGATGTGCCTGAGCTATTGCATTATTTACATACTGTGGTTATGTCCTTACTACTTAGTCTTACAAATAAATAATTATACAACTCCAAATATAAAGATTAAGAAACCCTTTTCACTCTTACTTTCACACAATAAATTACTTAGTGAACATGACACGTAACTTACACAGAGAGATTTATAAATGTCTATTTGCTCACCCACTTGATAACTTTACAAATTCCAGTTTTTGTCTGTACTCACCAATAGATTGTATAGGCTTGGGGGTGAGGGTGGGGGGTAATGTGTTTGTGAATAGTAACAATAGATGAATTAGTAAATATAACATTATAAATTGTCTTTAACTTCGTAATCTTAAATACTGTACTGAAATTGATAATTTAGTATCAAAATATTAATCTCTTACCTTTTCTATGACATCCCACAATTATAAAATATTTAACTCACTAATTAAATATTTCTATTCATTAAATACAGTCACTATCATACAGTATAAAGTTACTGAAAACACTGTATACAACCCAACAGGTAATATGACAGGCATGCTTTTCCTTGTCATTGCTTTAATGTTTACTACATCCTATATTGAGTATTAAATGTGGTCCTGTTACTTTTAAACTCATATGACTTGATTCCAGCATTTTGATCATTAAAAGGTTGCAATAAATAACAGAAAACAACATAACTGATGTGGCAATATCAAACTAGCATACTGCATGTAAAATAATTTATGGGATCTAATATTTTTGTAGAGTGTAACAAGTTAAAAAAATTACTGATGTTTTGAATTAATTCAAAAATTTTTTAAATTTATCTAAAGTAATAGATGCAGACCATTTTTAACACTGATATTGAAATATGTACAAAGTTTATGTATAAACTAGTTGGCTCTCCTATAGCATGCGGTCTACAAATATATTTACACTATAGTGTGCAGTCTACTATCATCATCACAGTTTTAACTTTCATGTATTTACAATTGGTGCCAGTTATTATAAATAACACTTTTAAACTAATAAAGTACAAAATACCATTACATAACATTTTTGGGACAAATATAATTGTAATGAAACAAGTTCCAACAATCAAAACTAACGCAATTATAACCTAAATTTAACGTAGTATTTTGGAACACACAACTAATTATTATTATTTACTGAACAAAAACATGGATAGATATAAATCATTTATCAAGAATATGTGTTTTAGTGAATCATTACAATGGTGATGATGATAGTATCTGTGTAGACCATATGCTATAGTAGCACCAACTAGTTTTTAATTAAAATGTTTTGTTTAGTGATGTATTATTTTACCAAATGTTCCACTGGTTTCCACAATGTCAGTTTATACATGCTTTTGTTGATGAATTATACAATGATAATGAATATTTGAATGAGGGTTTACATTTAATGTGTAATGATATAATATCACAGTTAAAAGTTATCATGTGAGAATCTATTTTGGAAAGAATACTAATTCATACTGTTACATTTAAATATGTATTTTGGTAATCTATTAATGAATTAAAAGGTGAATAGTTTGATAATTAATGAGTTCAACTCATATATGCATAATTATCTACCCAGCATATTAAATATATGTATCAACTACGGAAGGTGAAATGATAATTCAGACTTATGGTTCACATACACATGTTAAGGTTACTTACTGTGTACTATTTAATAATAATTAAAAGTGGTTAAATAGTAATATGAAACAACACCTATTTACACACAAAAAAGAAAAACTTATAAATCATAAAAGCTTTCAGTACAATGTGTTCAGTATACTTTGTTATAACACACCAGCAGTCAGTGTTTCTTAACGTGGGCCATATGGCCCTCAGGGCACTACGCTATGTTTCTAAGAGGCCATATGTGAATGACAGAAAATTAGGGGGCCACAGTAAATTCTGAGTAAGCCACCAAAACTTCACTGCCCAAATAAAATACTTAAAATTGAATCAAAGATTCCCTTCTCCCCATATCCCCCACAGCTCAGAAGTCAAGTTACCAGATGCAACTAGTACTCGAGTAACAATCAAAATTCCGGATTGGGTGGTGGATCCATTTGGAGTGAATACGGTTGATGTTGACATCACATTACAAGAATGTCTCATTGAACTGCAGTGATATAACAGCCCAAGCTAAATTAAAATGTGACAAACATTATTTTGGGATAAGTAGTGAAATAGCTAATAAATTTCCACAGCTCCGGAAGGAGGTAAAGTTGTATTTTATTGCTTTTCCCACATCTTATCTGGTTGAATCTGGTTTTAGTCGAGTGACTTATTTGCTATCAAAAATACGTAACCGCCTTGATGTTGTGAAGAGAGGTGATCTTCGCTTATCACTGACCACACTGCAACCAGACATTCAAAAACTTGTTGTTTGTTTGCTTGCTTGGTTCTTTGTCCAATCATAAATGCAGTATTAAGATCTTGTACAGCAATGAATGAGGACCTTTCAATAGCAGACCTCTCAAGAAGCAGAATGAGATCAACTCAACAAATTACATAAAAAGCAGAAATAAGCTAAAGAAGCATGCTATGGATTATGAACAAATAACTTTCATCCTTAAAAATTGCACATATCCTAGAAGTTGATAGAAGATAGTTTTGTGAATGGTTCATGGCACAGGAGGAACTGGGTGAACACTTCATCAAGGTGTTTAGAACAAACAAGGGAACATTTTACATCAATAATAAAAACACTACCACAACTGCCAATACTGATTCAAAGAAAACAAATAATAGGTTAGAGGAACCAAAGATTAGGGAGCAGATAGTGATGGCTTGATGTGGTCAATTATCTTATCATTGGTCCATGTTTCATCAAAGCACACTGGCTGGAAAAGGCTACCTGCTCTCCTGCAGAAACATATTGACAAAGCAATTATGGATTTGTAAAATATATCCAATGACACATGGTTTCAACAGAATAGTGAACTGGTTCATTAGGATATCAGGTAAAACCTAACAGACAGATCAAGACAATGACATGGCTTGCCCACTATCCGATCTTACACCATCAGACACATCAAACACTTGATGTTTGTCACAAATCCAAGTAACCTGGATGCAGAAAAGCACAAAAGGCACACAACCATAATGTCATAAATGATACAGAACATGAGCCAAAATCTGGATAAAAAAGTAACATTGTGTCAAGATAGCAACATATCAACCAAATGAAAGATAAGGACTTAGAAAAATGATGGCAAGAGAATTTTGTAACACCCTGTAGTTATACTGTATATAGGGATTCAAAAGAAAAAAACAGTGCAACAGTCAAAATATTTGCTTGTTACAGGTGGTGTATGTACACAGTAAAAAACAACTGGCAATTTTTTTAGAAGCATTTGTCATTTAACAATGAATTTTGCTCTATATTTGATAACAGATATAATAAGTACGTATTATACCTTAAACGATGTACTCTTAATCCTTTAAAATAATTTTGAAGGTTATCAAGTTCTTGGTCAACGATATCAGCCATTGTTACCACCAGAACATAATAAATGTCAGGTATTATTCTGCTGTAATGTCAGGAACCTACAACAGAAAAAAATTATTACAATTAATACAAGTTCCAATAAGTTGTCAAAGTTTTATAGATACTGTTTTCATAACATTTTTACAGAGGTAAAGCTATAAGTATTAAACATTAAATAGGTTTATGGGTTTGGTCTACATAAAAATTATCACAAGTTATAAAAATACTATTTCCTTGTGAAACGGCTGTAACAAGTAACTTTACATAATAAATGGGCCAGCACCAATAGTAATAAGTAGAGAAAATTTCAATTTTAATTGACTTGTCAAATTTTAAATATTTACTATATAGTTTCATAGATGTATTACAAGTGGTTTCACAGCAAAATGATACTATCACACAGGTTCACAACTCTAACGGAAAGATAAATTTAAATAATATGAAAGATGTCTATAAACATCCACACTGGGTTAAATATACAAAAACCAATCAAATGTATTGACTTCAGTCAGGGAAACAACAGAATCTTGATTAGCTATTCTGCAACAGCTTAAATCAGCTTCTTTAGCCTGTAATATGCTGATATAGCACTATATAAAACCTGTAAAAACATCCACCGATAAACATGTGACAGAGAAGTAAATTAAAGTAAAAAAGTTTAAAGTATTCTGTAGTGCACTAGTTTAACTATTATAAACAAATAAGCACTACAATTAAAATAAATATAGCTTTATCATATTAAACACAAGGTGAGCAGTTTTGATGGTAATTGGAATCAAACCCAAGATCTACCTCCCAAAAAAAATCAACAAAACTGAGCAAACCTGAAGTAAAAAAAAACAACTTATAAGGCTACAATCAGACAAGTTAGATATAGCCCATTATGTAGCTTTGTGCTTCACAATATAACAGCAATTTTGATTACTTGGATAATTGAAAATAGTAATAATCAGAAACACTACTTTTAATTAGTTGATCATTTTCATGTAAATCTATTTAATCATGATTTCATTCTGTTGGAATAATTAAAAACACTAATTTTGATTGATTTAATCACAGTTTTGATCAACCGATTAACTTACCTGAAACTAAACATTGTAATCACCACTCGTAGGTAATCAATTATATCAAATAAATCACCCAGCTATAATTATCATTTGAGAGATATTCAAGAAACTCACTTGCAGTAGCAGTAACATAGCAATAAGTCTGCTTAAATACAAACAAAATCAAAGTAGATAACCTGGGTTACACTGGCTTGTTTTACTTCTAATCTTTTTTTTGTCTCATTACACTAATGATAATTTCAATTAACAATATGATACTTCAGTAACTTCTGCATTTAAATCTTAAGTCCTATATCAACCAGTCAACTTGATAATAACAGATGTACTACAGTCAACCAGCCAGCTTCCATGACTTTGTAGCTGAGCCCAATCATGTGCTTCAACATTATATTTACCTCTTTCTAAAACTATATACATTCTTATATCTTTGAGACTGCTTCTATTTTTATATGTATGTATATAAACTGTTAGTTTTACTTCAGCAATATCTTATTCTCCATTTTACTAATGCTGTAAGTATCTTGCCATCTTTGACTGCTAAAAATACAAAATTCTATTGGCCACAAGTTTCAGTAAAGAAGTAACTTCCATTATAATTGCATGGCTACTCATATTCTGCATTTTGCTCTCATGATATTAAAATTCAAGTGTCCCTTCCAGTTTGCAGCTGTTTACCCAGGAATAAGGATTTCCAAAATATAATGCCATTCTACTCCTGATATTCACATTTGATATCCAACACTTTTCATTATACCACTCAAACAGGCAACTAACAAGGAGATAATCTAAGCCTCTAACAATCTTTAAGTCTGTATAGCAGAGACAGCTGGTATGTGTATTAAAAACTTTAATTAAAATAAAATACATGAACAATGTTTCAACCTTCTTAGGTCATCTCCAGGTTAAGAAAGACAGTTTGAAACTGACCATTACTGGGCACGTCTTAGGGGCGAGAGAGTATTAAGGTTTTTAATACCCATACCAGCCATCTCTGTAATACATTTTTACTTCAAGTGGGTTTCTCGTCACCATGAATCTTTAAGTCTCTTCTCAAATTTCTTCAAACCAGCTATCTCTACATTATTTCCAACAACTGTTTCTTCCTGTGCTACACGGTCTAAATTTGCACACAGTATTCTTAATAACGTCCTACCAAAGTCTTATAGATGGTTGTGACAACCTTCAACAAGCAAGTTTTAAAATCAATCTCTACACATAGAACCTAGAATCCCATTGGTTCTTTTCACCATAGCTAAATGCTCAGATGAAGGTTTGGATTTTTTATGAATAATTAAACCAAAATTTTATTTTCTCAAAAACACGAATGCTTTTCCACAATATGAAGTATCCTTTTTACAATTTCTACACATTAGGCACATCAACAACGAAACTCATTTTTTATGTTCTTGCCCACTCACTATGACTGACTAAGAAAAACATTTCAACAATTACAGCCCTTTGTAACATAGAACAATAACAAGTACACTTGGAAAATACAACTGAAGCTAGATAAACTGCAAAGATACACAATGAACAACGTAGATAAAAAAAAATATATCCTGAGAAAATTCTTATTTATCACAACCATTTGCTTTTTCATTACTAAGTTTATTTTCTCTCAAATGATTTCTACAACTTTAGGTAAACATTAATGGTGTTATTTTCACCCAATAAAAATCAGATACTTGAATAAAAAATCCATATAAAGTGGTTATGCTAAAAAAAAATCACATTCCAAAAAATCATACTCAGTACTATTTTATTAAATGCAATAATATCTGTGTATCAGCATGGTTAAAGTGCTGACAGATATCTAACTACTAGCATGGTCACTATGCAGTAAGGTTGATGAACCACCAAAATATTAAGGGCTCAGACCCCTAACCTTCTAGACTCAGCTCACTGCAAGTTACTGAGGGTAGACCTACACCTTAAATGTATTTCAGATTAAATAAAATCTTTAAATAAATACCTGATATATGTACTATATAACTCGCATGTGTTAGTGACTAAAACAATTGCTTTAAACAGGGATCTTTGGCTTATCAGTGCTGGAGCTTTATGAATTGAGCCCTATTAATTAAAGTAGCTTCTGTGCTGGAGAACAGTAACAGTACCATCAGAGGATTCATATAATAGTTGTATTTATTTAAATCATTTTCTATCTTTTTAAGTACACTAAACTCATAGACAATAAATTCAAACCTGATCTTTCGTTTCATCTCCACATAAAATACAATGCAGAACATATCTAGACGAAGCCTAGGAAACCATTTTTAGTTTTCCAACAAGTAATGTTTTGTGTAAACTTGGAGATGATAATCCCAACTTCTTGGCAAAGTCAGTTGCTTGTCAGTATTCTCTTTATTTCTTCCTTTCTCTTTGTGAAAATAGTTTGTTTCTGAAGGAAATCTTCACCTAGTGGCCAACTTGCCCAATACACAGTGTGTGATTCCATCCTTTAATGCTCTCCTTGCACACTCATCCTTTAGAAGAGTAAATATTTAAAACTTATCCTTTACTTTCAGGATATTACAAATTCCTCTCTCAATCTTAAGTAAAATGCTGGCATCCACTACTTCCAAAATAACACATTCTATTAATAAAATAAAACTTTCTTCATTGGAGCATTGCCTGTCTTTTCCAAATCTTACAACTGCAACATCCTATCATTTTTTTTTTTAAAGATAGCACAAAGAATCAGAAGCCTTTATCCTTTTCATTCCCAGAAAATCTTGTAAACATCAATAAGATCACTTCTTGCTCTTTTTTTTTTTTAGAGAAGAGATCAACTTATCACTGTAAAATAGCTCTTCCATCCCTGGAATCATTACAGTAGACCCCCTTCTGAACCATTTCTAAAAAGTCAATATTCTTTCTTAGATAATGAGACCAAAACTCTAACAGTATTCCAAATGAAACCTAACTTGTGATCTATACAGAGATAACCTTTGATTCATAATCAGTATATCTATAAAAAAGATCCTAAAATTCTATTAGCTTTATTACTAGAAACAGATCCAAGATCATTTACTTCAGTCATACTATTAGGACGATTCTAGGCTAGTGATCACCTTTCAGGTATTGAGTATAATACCTGCATATCATATTTAAACATTTAAGTAAAAATAATAATTCTATCGATAATTCTTTCCTTAAAAATACTTTAGAATTGTTATTTCCTCATTCTGTAGCATTTATTAAATGTAGTTCACAAAAAAAAAACTGGGAAAAGAAATGCTCTGATAAACTCCAAAGAGTCTCGTGTGTAAACAATGCACATCAATTATTTAATTTTTTTACCTATTCCAAAGCACAAGTTTCTATTTGCTAAGATAATATCATCTTTTGAGAATATAATTCTCAATAATTTGCTTTTCACATAAATCCCTTCTCTGATTTTTGTTAATACTGCCTCTGACCTCACAGCAGGTGATTGAACTACTAACAAAACTCAGCATTCAAAATGGAAACAAGCAAGTTTAAATACCAATGGATAAAGCAGATTATAAACATTTACATCAACGTAAAGTGAACAAAATAGTGAGAAATAATTTATACTTTTGTGGGAAAATGTCAAGACCTAGCTGAACAAGAACAATGAAGTAGAAAATTCACATGACTTAGAAACAAACCACACATACAGGAAACTGTTTATAGTTGGGTTTTTTTGCTATTCTTTTCATTCCTGAAAATGTTTTGTGCCAAGTTATATTTAATTGAGAGTTAAAACATTTTTCTTCTTTGACAAGATTAAAGTAGCAAAAGCAAAATATTCTAGTGACTCAAATGATCAAATCTTTACTTGCTGAACAAAACTGTTAAGCTTACCATATTCAAACAACCCACAAATAAACAAGCCTAATTTATCAAAAATAGAACATATTTATTGAGATCTAAATTTATTTTGACCAAAAATATTGTAAGTAAACATACTAGTA